TCATAATTAATAATTCTAATCAATTCTCTCTGTGTTGTTAGGAAATGAATTATTTAAAGCGAGATGAGATTGCTAAAATACCCGTCTTTAACAAAAAAGGGAAGAAAAAAATTATGATCAATTCTTAAAAACACAACTCGTCTAGCCGAATTATTCGTGTAATCAATCTTAAGATTTGGCGACAATAAAAAGGGAAAAAAAGAAGAAGAAATTTTCTTACACCGCCATCGCAAAAACGGACACCCGTCCTCTGAAAATAAAAATTACATTAAAAAGACTGAGAAAAAAAAATTCTCCCTGGTAAGAAAATTTAAAACTTCAACACTTATTACAAGGCGATAAGGAAGAGAAAGAGAAAAAAAAGGTTCGAAATGAAAAGAAAGAAAATGAAAAAGGAATGAATTGCTTCCACCCCCATTTTTAAAGCTTCGGTGATTAGCAGACGCGTAAAAAGCACCCAGGAATCAAGCACCGTGGAAAAATGGACCCACAGCATCCAAGAGAGGCGCAAGAGCAGGATGTGATGGAGAGGAGCGCTCCTCTCCTCTTAGGATTCCTTGTTTTTATAATCCCCCACGAGGGTGAACAGATTGTTATTCCTAGAAAAGTAATTCAATTACCATTTTGCACCGTCGTCGATCTATGAATAGTTTCCTCTATCCCCCCAGGTGATATTATGGGTCCGGGGATAAAGAGGTGGGGGTGTGGGGGTTAAGGGGGGTGGCGTGGGAGTAAAGGGAGATGTAGTTTAATTCTCCAGCCGTTCGCAAATTGCCGCATCTAATTTTATTAGGAAAAAGTAATACTTTATCCGTCCTTGCTTTCTCCCGAGGAAAAAAAGGTTTTTGCAATCTGCGAGGAAACTGAACTTCAACTATGGGAGGTTTAGTTTGATTACCAAGTATATATATATAATACACCGAGAAAAGGATAAATAATAATAGTGGTAGTCAACGAAAAAAGGAAAAAGAGAGACGAACGGGGAAAAGGAAAAAAGATTGAGTTAAAATCACGAGCCCAGGAAATCCCTTGTAATTGGAAGTCCAAATATGATGGAAAGGCTTTTGTTGCTTACTTTACTAATAGTGGAAGCAATCAAAACATGGACCATCCTTTTCCCGCCACGAAAGGTTTTGATCTTTGTGGCAAAAGGGGGTGTGAGGGGGGTTGCATACTCTCGTATCCGCCAAACTAATTCATTTCGAAGCGTGGAGCGAGGATATTTCCTAATTTTCTGGGACAAGATCGTAACCGCAATACTTTAAGCTTCAAAAGGAAAACCTTAGGTCCGCCCACCCCCTTATGGAGGGTTGGATGACTGGATTGATTATGATTTGAGGTTTCGCAGTCAAGGGTAGGGGGGAGTTGTGGGAAGCCTGATTGAATTCTGTAGATGTTCGTTATCAAGTGCACTTCCTGCTGAGCTTTTCAGTACACATGTAAACATTTAGGCAAGAGCTAAGTGGTATTATAATTCCGGTACGCACACAAAGATTTGTATTGGGAGTCTGTCTATGTTGGTCTGCCACTCCAAGATGTCAAGTCACGTAGACTAGAATTGGTTCGTCATTTGCAGACTTATCCTTAGATGCTGGATGGAAGAGAAAGATTTTTTTTCAACGAAAACAATTAAATCAGTTGATACTGTAGACAAGGCACTGATTTTTTTTATGAAATATGTCTTTTTTTTGCCATCTGTCGAAACTTGGTTATTGATTTTTCGATATAATTAACTCATTGTTTTCATATAGGTATTGTGGTGACAATTTGGGTAAAGTATAGTGGGACANTTCATGTTACAGTGAATATTTCGTTATAATTAACACATTGTTTTCATGTTACAGTGAATATTTCGTTATAATTAACACATTGTTTTCATATAGGTATGTTACTGTGTATGACCGAAATCAAGAGACTGTCGACTTTCACCAAAACAACAATCACATTGCCGCTTTGGTGAATGTTCGAAATATTTGTTACATCCGATTTGATATTAATTTGCTCGCTTATATTATTTTATTTTTTCGAAATTTTAGATATCTGCTGAGGATAGATTAGGAGAAACATCAGTGTTCGGAGTCCCGGTTAAATGTATACTGGGCAGTGGCACTAGACCTTAAAAGAAACATTAATGTAGGGCATACCGGGCAGAGGCACTGAACTTTGAAAAACATTGATATAGAGCATATCAAGCAAAAGCATACCGAGCAGTGGCACTTAACTATACTTAGTACACATTTCGGATATTAATCAAAGCGACTACGTGATTGTCAACATTCATCGGAAGTCACCAACAATTTCGGTCATTCACAGTAACAGATATATTATTTTTCTCTCATGACCGTATTTACATATTTTAAAAATTGTCTATGTGAATCGAGTGCTTTGTAAAAGTTGTTTCGTCTGCCAGTTTAAAATTTCACCTGGAAAATCTGTTGCTCAATTTTTTGTACGCATTTAAACGCTTCTGAGATTAACTACGTTCTTTTATGATGGATTAAAGTTGTGATCTCTTTAAATATAATTAAAATAAGACAAATGTCATAGAAAATCTAGTGTTCAACTAAATCATCTGTCCATTGGTTTGGCTAATGACATATATATGCACAATTGTATTTTGTTGTTGCTACCAATGTCCCTTGCCAATTAACCAGCAAGACTGTTTGGTGAAAGCAAACGAGTTTAAGGCATAGGGTATGTTTCTTGTTTTTCAGTGGGGCCAGCTATGGCCGAGAATTCGTCTTCAACTACATACACACGTCATAGCCCGTTTTAAAGAGCGGACCCTTTCATAAGTCCATTCATTCAGAGATTGTAATTTTGACCTAAACCAGAGAATCAATCGCCATTTCAGTATCCCCAGAGATATTGATTTGTTATGAGTACTAGAACTACTGTGAGAACCGACAGATCTTATATGTCTCAGTCACCATTTACTGTTCTGTGAGATTTTAGCCGGCGAGGATCGAACTCACGACCTTTTGAAATAAGCTCAACGCCCTACCAATCTGGCTATCCCGGCCAAATCTATTTATTTCATTTCTTAAATAAAATATTATTTTTAGAGTACGAAACTATATTTGTGTTTCAATGATTGTAATTTAAGCATATTTCAATGAAAATAATACCACTTGTCATAAAATTTCTGAGCTAGCTCTAAAATGGGCTAAATTCTAAATAATATTTTTGATTCGAATATACAGCTTTGAATTTGTATGTAAATATTGAACGGCGACTTCAATATTTAATTTGGTTCGTTGTTTTAACGAAAGCAAAATATCGAAAAAACTTATATGAGTCGATATTTCTAACAATGTGCAGATTTTTTATAAAGTAATTAACATTTATATATTGTTCGAATTTTACAACTTGTGGAATTTATCAGAAAAGTATTGCTTGAAAGGTTGGGTCTTTTTAAAGCGGTTTTGACAAGAGCCAGCTTTTCAAGCATTTTTATGGTTAGATATTACAAAAGCCAGATTATCTCAACAGATGTGAGTCGTCAATGAAAAAGTAAGAGTCTGTTTAGCATGTAATTTGTATTCAGTGCTAAGTTTGTTTCGTTTTATGCAAAGTTTGTAAGTATTTTTTGGTATATGGTCTTGATGTGTCTGTCAATTTTTTCGTTCTTTGCACGAGATTTGAAGTAAAATAGCTGTTTAAAAACGAAATAACTATCAAAACAGAAAAGCTGCCTTATATTCAGTTTTACATCATGAATTGGGTATTTGCACTCTAATTAGAAGAAAGTCACAGATACCCGCACTATGACGTCAACACCAACTGATTGTTTATAACAAAATGTTCATTAATATGAAATTGATTAAAATACAGCGCCCTATCGCACATGGAATTTATTGAAATATAATTCTTTCACTTCTGCCTAAGTAAAAACTTAACTTAGATTTATTATTTGTTTATGTATTTTATTGTAACGGTGATATATTTTTATTTCGTGCATCTGGCCACTTCAGTGCATAAAAAGTTAGGTTCTACATAGCTTCGAACCTGTCTTTGTGCTAAGTATGTAGCAAATGTAGTAAATATGTAGTAAATAAATTGAAATATTTGTGAAAGAATATAGAATGTACTTAAGACTTATTGCTTAAGAATTATTACGTATACTTAACAGAATTGAATCTTGAAAGACTTGACTTGCTCGAAATAGAATGATAAGAACAGTTGCTAACGTAAATAAATGCCACGTTCAAATGTCACGATCAACCAATCAAGATCGAGATACAAACACTACGTCACTTGCAGGTATCTTATTGCTTAGTTGACTGGTCAATGTCATCTCTAGTGTGATTGATATTAATAACCAAACGAAAGGAAGGTGAAAAACAACCATAAACTCTACCATTTTTGCAATTAAAAGTAGTCGGCTCCTCATATTGATTTTGATAATTACAAAAATTAAAAAAGCATTCCATAACTGCCTGTTATGAGGAAATCAGGGTTGGTCATTTCAGCCGAAACGTGGTCAGCATTGCCCACTTCCCGAATTTACTTCCCGGATTAGTTAGTACCCGTGGATCAGAAGTTAAGTAAAGTTCTGAATATCACCGGAGATCGATCCCTAGTAATTCAAAATAGTTCGGAGTCTTAACCATTCAGCTATCACAATTGAATTTTTTTTAAATCCTGAACCTTTCTGTAGCATAATGGGGAAGCATACAAGTGAAAATAAAAGTTGGCGTTCATAAAGTTATTATTAAAAAACTTGAAGACAACGGGGCAGTTCTTGAAGTGCTCGCCATCCATATCGCCCTGGTGGCAAGGAGAATCCTTGACACCAAATCGACATAACAATATTCGTAAATAGTTGTGTCCAGTGAGCAAACGGAAACAAACAACTTCAACAGGAAAAGGGACTAATTGTATCATTGACTTAATTGAGCTATATATTCCATCTCTTATCGAATTCTGCACCATTTTATAAGGTTATTCTAGTTTCTTTTTAAAAAAAAGTTAATTCAATTTAAATGAATTAAACTCACCGGTGTGTATATATGTGTGCTTCTTCATGTCGGACTTCTGGTGGAACCTCTTCCCACAGTATTGGCAGGGATAAGGTCTCGTATCAGAATGGATTAGTAGGTGTGTAGACAATGTGGAGGACCTCTTAAAAGATTTACCACACTGTTTGCACTCAAAAGTTCTCTCCGCTGTGTGGATGGCCCTATGCTGACTCAGGCTGACCTCGTGACCGAAGGTCTTATTACAGAGTTCGCAGGCAAATGGTCTCTTTCCACTGTGTGACCTCCTCGCATGCACTTCAAGTCCGTGGGGTGTGCTGAACATCTTGTCACATTTCACACACGAGTAAACATCTCCGGTAGGGGAAGCCTTTAACACGCCGTCTGGGCTTGATAAGGACGTCTTGTCCACGTGCTGTCCAAAACTGTACAGAGACAGACCAAAGCAAGACAGTCCAGTGAAGGTGGGTCGGAACAATGATGAGGGTGGAGTGTCCGCGTGTGCTGTCGACACCGCCCCCAACAGTCTTGGACTGCTTCCATCAGCAGTTGACTTGGGTGGACTTTGGGACTGTCGAAACAAGTTGACCGCTCCGTGGCAGCTTGACACCGGGACTGGCCTCACTCGTAAGTCTGTAGGCCAAGTGGTCAAACTCAGAGGCTTGAATTCTCCGATGGCCAGAGGTGTCATCGAAGATCGGACATCTTTGTCGGAATTGCAGGCTTCCCATGAAGAGGGTGCGTCTCCAGAAAGAGCAGCTATAATACGAAATAAATACATTTTGCTTGTTATTTAAAATGAATTATTACTATATATGAAGTTGTTATCTATATAAAATTATAAAATAAAATGAACACGTTTAGTAATTATTCTAATTAATTTAAAATGAATTTGCACTTATGAACGAGAATGAAATTAACACTTCAAACAAAAAAAAATTGCTAAAAATCATTTTTATAAATAGCTTTAAACATGAAAATTATAAAATTGTGACTCCTACGAAAATGGAAAATATAAATACATACAATCAAATATAAATGCATACATTAAATTTATTATTTTTCTTTCTTAAAAAAATTTAACTTTGTAAAAATGTTGCCTTTAATATGAGAATTTATTATGTTTGCAAAAGAAATCTTGTAATATGCTGAGAATATTTAGTCCAGAAAAATAAAAGCAGATGCAAAAATCACTGCAACCATTTTTAAATTTAGATTGATTGGCACTGAGTATGCACTAAGAAAACAAGTATGGTCAAAACTACCAAAATATAGTAAAATTTATCGTGTTTCTGCCTCTATAGAGGCACCAAAAGATTGGTAATTTTTACCGGAACGCTTTGGTAATGATTTTGATAAATTACCTATAAAATATGGTTTGTATGAGATAAAATTTGGTAAATGAGGTAACACTTGGTAATTTTATTATGATAAGTATGGCATAAAAATCACTTATTTGGTTAAATTCACTTTTCAGTTTCGTATTTTGGACTAAATTAGTAATAATATGAAATATAATTTTGAAACAGAATTTTTGCTAAGCCGTTGTAATATGAATGGAAAAATTACCAAATGAATGGATTAAAAGCCGTATATTTTGGTCTTATTATGTTTTTTTATTATATTTTTTTCATTACAAATGTCATTATCCAACCAGAATTTATTTTCTCCGTGAGCATACACCAAAAAAACAAACAAAAAGGNCTAAGGGGGGGGGGGGTTGTTCATTGTTCATATTTTACATAGTTTTGATTTAATAATTTTAATTTAATTGTGTTTACCCAAGTAAAAATTCTTGATGGTCCCATCAAAACATTTTGATGATTTATTTTGGTTTCAGTGCAATTCATGGTGGTCCAACATCCTTTAATGGTCACCATCTTCCAACATTTTCCATTATTCGCTCATGGTTTTTGATATGCCAACAAACTTCCATCATTCCATGAGGGAAAATTCTACTTTAATACTATGGCGGTTAACCATCACGAGAAGTTTGATTCTCATGGATCAGCAACGCATGATGGCTCAAACTATCTATTTCTCTAATGGTTTAATGGGAATTCTTGTTGTTTCTCAGGAATATACCATCAAAACAAGTTGCTATTTTTATGCTGGACCATCATAAATAAGTCCGAATTCTTACATTGGGATGATGGTTAATCATAATCATTCCAACATATTATTTCTAAGAAACTATGATGGAAATTTCTGACGCTTCAACATGAACAAGTTGCTATTCTTATGTTGGACCATGCCATCATAAATCAGCTCGAATTCCTACGTTGAGGTGATGGTTACTTATGTTGGTTACCATAAAAAATATTATGTAATTATTGATGGTTTCCATCAAGATTATGTTGGCCCATCAGTGGGAGACCATCAAAAATTTTGTCTTGGGTAAGCATGTCTTCAAAACGAAATGCAGTTATATGCGTGGTATAGGTACGAGAGGTGATTTTAACGCAGTTTTAATTTTATCTCAGATCACAGTTAACCTTTGTCCATAGAAATTCGCACAAACCTGAGAGAAATACACTACAGTGTAAATAAATTGGAAATAATTTAATATTCCTTGGTACTATTTGATCCATGAACTGCTATTTGATAAAGTACTGCTCCCTAAACCCCGTGGATCGGGGTTTAGGGAGCAGTACTTTAGATTATGTAATTTGAATGCACAATAAAGTACAAAAATTTTTGACATTTAATGAAACAGGAAATGAAAAAATAAAATTATTAAAAATATTTTTACATTTGACTTACATTTCTTCATAAAAAATTCATCAATTTCTTTTTATCAGTACCGTTAATTCCCAAGAGGAGACAAAAACAAAAATCTAAAACTAGCTTTGTTTCAAGAATTACCAAAAAGTAACTCAAAATACCATAAAAAATACTTTCAGGTTATTCTTTGATGATTGAAATTTGGTTGATTTTCAGTTTACTGATTTAATGACTTCATTTAAAATTATTAACTTTATTTAAAATTATAATTTTTGACTTATTTTTTGAAAATTTTTAAATCTTTTTCGCGTGACATTATTTGAAATCCAGAAAGCAATCCTGAATATGTAGGAAAGCCGGTTATGATATCGCAGTAGATGAGATGAAATCTACCGCAGTCTATTCATATTAATCTAGACAATTTTTCTTGTATAGTTTATTTTAAAAAGGTTATATTTCATAGTAATTTCTGCCCTGCACGTTTCTGGATTCTTTTTCATTCTTTTCTATGTGATATTCATTGAAATCTTGTACATAATCTACAATCATTCGAAAGATTCAAAAGAAAAACCTATTTTCCAAAATCTTCAAACAAATAAATAAAGCATCAGCTGCTATTTTTTTTCCATTTCCCGCTATCGTTGGCACTTCTGTCGTCTGATCTTGTGGGAAGTGGGGGTGTTTCAGAAAACCGATCATTCTGGAAAAGGTGCAAATAACCTGTTCGTTATGCTATGTCGCCCTTTTGTCATGCTTTTCAATAGAGCACTCACAAGCGCTCTTGTCAGAACATAGTCTATCTGTGGGGTTGCTGTCACTATTGAGTTGGCGACCATGCTCATAACGCCAACAAATATCGCTAGCGCCAAACCAGCAGGAATATGAAATTTATATAATTCTTAGCAGTTAAAAAAAAATTAAAACAAAAAAAATGACATAAATTTCAAAAATTCATAATCAAAATTTGGATTGTTATTTTACAATTTAATTTATCTGAGGAGAGAATTAAACTTGACTTTTCATGTACTGCATGAAATTCTAGCTCTTCATAAAGCAATAAGTAAGTAAAATATAAAATCATGACCTTTAAATTCATAACATTTAGATCTGGTACGTTTAAAACTGTGGGTATTTAAGTTTAGATTATGTCAACCTTCATCTATCAAAAGGTACCTCATGCTTTTTTTAAATTTATTTATATAAATTTTGCTAATTATATTTTTTTAAATTTTTTATAGCATTTTTGTTCATTTTCCTCCTTTTATTGGAACATTTTTCATTTTTAAGCAAATAAACTGTTTAATGTAGACCATCCATCATGTTACCGAGTTCAGATCACGTCCGGGTCACCAATGTGGGGATTTAAGTTTAGACTATGTCAACCTTCATCTATCAAAAGGTACCTTAAGATAGAATCAAGTTAACATGTCTTATATACTAGTGAATTGGTATTTAATATTTATAGTGGTAGTTACGCCACAAAACTTTATATCTTTTCACAAGGGGGCTAAGCCCCCTGTTCGCTGCCGCTCACCAACGCTGATGTTGCGCAATTGTTGCTTCTCAGCGGAAAAAAGTTTCTTTCCCACCAAAGTTGAAATTATTCACTTAACGTATATGTACTAAAAAGAAATCTGTTTGCTTGTGCCTCCACTTCCCACATCCAAATGTTATTATCTATTAGTACGAGTATTACACATATTCAGATCTAATATTGAACAGAAGTTATTAATCATTTTTTAAAATATCATTTGTGTTGTTACAACATTATATTGTTCAAACAAGTTTGATAAGTTCATAATTGTAATTTAATATTTCGCTTACCAAATGGGCAGATTTGTTAAATACTATTTTTGCTTATATTTGCATGAAGCTGATCGTTAAGTTCTAAATCATTTAACAGATCCCTTTATTTATAACAGTGTATTAATGTTATTCACACAAAAATTATAATTGTAAACCAGTTCATAAAATTAGACCACTTTTCTAAATAACTTTATCTTAAAATGTAGAGCAGAATTACTTTATAATAACAATAAAAAGAACAATAATTCTCTTTGTTTTAAACTCTTGAATTAAAAGCGTAATAATAGAAGTACAGGAATATAACTTTAAATTAGGGATACAAAAATATATTTCGAAAAACAATTTCTTTATAACTTTTATTAATTTTATGCAGATGACAATCAAAACAATATGGAAATGAATGAAGGAAAACAGTATCCTACCACGTGATTTTTCCGGCCAATAAAAATTCACCAACAACAATGAAAAACTGTGTTAGACCATTATGTTTTTATGTTATATAGAGATATAGTAACTTTTGCATTGTGTTTTTTTTTTCTTTTAAATTTTAATTCTATCATTTTTCGTTTCCAAACGTAACTACAATATTTGTCTTTATTACTGTCTATTTTCGCTGTTGGAGTGCTATCAGAATACAATTTCATAACGGATGGTGCTACGAATTACGTTTACTTATGTAAACAGTAATTATGTTTGAAAACTATTACTCATACAGAAACTTACGCTTGAAATATTATATTATTGTATTCAGTAGATTTGTAGAACTCAAGGAGGGATTCTCACGTAATTATGTAGAAAAAAACGAAATTTTTTCTGAAAAAAAAAATTCTTCTGTTTCTTTCAATCTACATTTTTATTAGGCTATTGTAGGTATATTTTAGTAAATTATTATAGGTAGGCTAGTATACCCATATTTTTACGCATTATTACTTTCCCGGTTAGTTTCAAGTATCATTTATAAAAAATAAAAATTCCTGCATTTAACATCACTACAAATAAAAAGAATTGAAAGACAGTGAGAGAAAAATAACGAATTAGTTGCCTACACTTAACCTCAAGATTTCAGATTCAAAGAAAGCTTCAATATTATTTTTAATCTCCGTCATTTGTTCGTATATTTAAAAAGTTTTCAAAAGAATCGTTCGTATACTAAGAAAACTTTCAGTATAACAAACAAAATTTTAAAATCTTACTATTCAATAATTTATTATGCTCTAGTTAAAACTAAA